CATTTAAGCTTTTTTTCCATTCGCCTTCCGTGACGCTGATGAACCTCGCCCAAGCCCTTCCCACCGACAAAGAAAATTAATAAAGGGGTTATTAAATAGTTCATATCATGAAATGACGAACTAAATAGGCCGAGATATATAGTTAATAATGATTGAAATTACCTGTTGACTATCCCAAACAAGTTGTTATAGTCAGTATTTTCTTTGAGTAGTGAGTCCAGTATTTCAACTGTTCCGGCGTCAACTTTAATGATACACAAGATCCAGTGAAATCTGCATGCACACACGTTTGCATGTCTTAATTAAGCGGGCATATGTAAGCAAAAACATGTAGCTAGCTAATAGGCAAAAACAGAGAATTTGTAGTACAAGACAGTGTGACCCACTGGAAGTTGTAAGGAAGTAGTATATCTTCATTGTATTTGAGGCGCTTCAAGAACTCTAGCATGTTGTCCTCTACGGCCTTTTGATGATGTGGATTTATTAGCCATGTGTATTCATTAACGGTGTTTGGGTCAATGAACCCAATGCCAAAGCGTCCACCTTTTCTCATTTCATACATCTTCATCCTGCATAATACCACAGAAAAGAATATAGTGAGGATAATTACAGGTAATGATTGATCAAAAGGATCACTACAGCTAGCTTGAGACTTAAATTACAGAAATAAATCACTTACAGACAATAGCAACTGACGATACATTTGTCGAGTGCGTCTTGATTGTATAACTGAAACAGTTCAGAATACTCAACGGACAGAGCTTTCTCATGGAAGTAATGCTCCTCCTTGACATTCACCATGAGGGACAATCGATCGGAAATCTTCGTAATGTTCATGTACCATTGATGCAATTCATACATTCTCGTTGGGAGGTTCTTGACCTTGTCTGGCTCGACCAAAGGTTGGCCCCGGACATATTTCTGTTTTATTTCATCCTCTTTAAGCACAGGCATGGGCTCGATCTCGAGGAGTTGTCCAACAATGATGTTGAGAACTTCAGCCTGCATTATATGGTCCTTGGTTATTACCACATTGCCCACCTCGGGAACGTAAATTGTTTGCCCACAATAATATTAGGCGCGCGTACTGTCACGTGTTGTTTGCACAACAAGCGAGGGGATTGATTGCGCCGCCTGTTCTCCCAGCGGGGGAATGGTTTTCCCACATTTTTTGACAGCTGCTTATTGTTTGCTCGATCCCGAACTCGCCTCCTTACATAGACGTGCTCGATTTAACTTCCTGATGTGGCGCTCATAGTCTGTGTCAACAGGCTTGGGAGCTGGTGGTTGAGCCATACGAATGAAGTGGTCAACCGTTTCCTCAGGCACTTTCTCCCTTGGCGGCGGTGGCGGTTTCGGTGCAAAATGGGCTTCCACCTCGGTCTTCGATATGGCTGCGATTTCCTCCTCGGACTTGTCATAAGGCCTCTGCGGAAGAGGCTTGAGGCTTGGACCATATTTATATTGCTTGCCTTCACCTGTACTTTCTGTACTACCTCGACTCGTACCGCTACGCACCATAGCTGCGGGGTGTCTCTTCTGCGATTGCTGAGGCGGCGGAGATGGCTGACGGGGCTTAGTTGGACGAGGAGGAGTGGCCTGAAGCTGTGCCGGACTTGGAGGAGGAGTGGCCTGAGGTTGTGCCGGACTTGGAGGAGGAGGAGTGGCCTGACACTTTGCCGGACTTGGTGGACTTGCAGGAGCGGGAGTCTGCTGACTCGGTGGCGGACTTCGACGAGGAGTCGGCTGACGCGGTGTCGGTGGCCTTCGAAAGATGATGCAATCCTTAATCCATAGGATGATACGATGGTTGGCCTCTCCGAGAAAGTGCTCGTCGTCACCTCCAGGAGTGTCAAGCTCTAGCTCCGAATATGGGGCCAGCACCTCATCAACCGGTACTAAAGGTCTGTTTTGGCCAGCCCAAGCGGCAGGAAGCGACCCCCTTTAGTACCGGGTGGTGGCACAAACCGGTACTAAAGGCCCCCCCCCCTTTAGTACTGGTTTGTGCCACGACCCGGTACTAAAGGGGGTGCGCTGGCGCAGGTGCGGTGCGGCAAGTTTAGTCCCACCTCGCTAGCCGAGGGGCGACCGCACTGGTTTATAAACCCCCGTGCGGTCGCTCTCTTGAGCTCCTCTCCAAAGCAGGCTTACTGGGCCTACGTGTTCTTTGCAGCCCTGTGGGCCCACTTGGCCTTTGCGGGCCTGCATCCTGGCTAAATGACAGGTTGAGTTTCTAGTCGTATGCAGGCCGCTCTGGCCTAGTAGGCGGGCTTTTTTTATTTATTTTTTTGCTTTATTTATTTTTGTGTTTTTTTTGTGTATTTAGAGTTTCTTTGTGAACATTTTTGCTTTAGGTACAAAAAATTACAAACTTTCTGTTAGTGCCCGTAGTTTTCAAATTTGAATAATTTAAATTTTGAATTATTTGAAATTAGTGTGAATCACTAGTTTGTGAATAACTTAACTTTAAAAATCAGTAAAGGCATGAAAGAATTTGTTGCACATAAAATTTCTTCGCGTTTCAAATGCCAAAACACATAACTACCCTAACTATTACAGAGATTCCCCTCTGGGTGTGAAACACAGAAGAAAGTGATGATAGTGAAGCCGATCACATCCCAGATCTTTGGGTGTGAAACTTTTTCTTCGCGTGTGTCCCTTTGCGCCGTAACCATGGAAAATCTTCATCATTTAACGGGATGCTCGGGTCAATATTCACTGTGAATGGAGCAATTTCATCAAACTTTTCATAATCTTCTGACTTGTCTGTCTTGTCATCCACTCCCATGATGTTTCTCTTCCCAGAAAGAACTATGTGCCGCTTTGGCTCATCGTACGATGCATTCGCTTCCTTATCTTTTCTTTTTCTTGGCTTGGTAGACATGTCCTTCACATAGAAAACCTGTGCCACATCATTGGCTAGGACGAATGGTTCATCTGCATACGCAAGATTGTTGAGATCCACTGTTGTCATTCCGTACTGCGGGTCTTCCGTTACCCCGCCTCGTGTCATATTGACCCATTTGCACCGAAACAAAGGGACCTTTAAACCACGTCGATAGTCAAGTTCTCATATGTCCTGTATATAACCATAATATGTTTCCTTTCCCGTCTTGGTTTCTGCATCAAAGCGGACACCACTGTTTTGGTTGGTGTTCTTCTTATCTTGGGCGGTCGTGTAAAATGTATTACCATTTATCTCGTACCCTTTGAAAGTCATTATATTCGAAGATGGTAACTGGGACAGCAAGTACAGGTCATGTTCAATAGAGGTGTCATGCATGGTACGTGTCTGCAACCAGCTGGCGAAACTCCTGGTTTGTTCACGTGTAATCCAGTCATCAGACCGCTCCGGGTGTTTGGAGCGTAGCAAATTCTTGTGTTCATCCATATACGGAGCCACCAAGGCAGAATTCTGTAGTACTGTGTAGTGTGCTTCAGTGAGAGAATGTCCGTCCATACATATTATTTGTTCCCCTTGTAGCGTGTCTTTTCCATCCAGTCTGCCCTTATGCCGCGATTCAGAAACACCAATCGGCTTAAGGTCAGGGATAAAGTCAATACAAAACTCAATGACCTCCTCATTTTGATGGCCCTTGGAGATGCTTCCTTCTGGCCTAGCATGGTTATGAACATATTTTTTTAAGACTCCCATGAACCTCTCAAAGGGGAACATATTTGTGTAGAAATACATCCTGCCATCACTTTCTTTAGTACCGATTCGTGGCACGAACCGGTGCTAAAGGTTCGCCACACCGATACTAAAGAGCCCCTCCCGCCTAGCCGTTGGAACTGGCACTAATGGACACATTAGTCCGGTTCTGTTACAAACCGGGACTAATGTGTCTCACATTTGACCCTTTTTCTACTAGTGTAACATAGTGGCTTAAGTTCCACTGTCCGTAACTAACATACTTTCCAAGTTTCTAACTTTTATTTTCTCCTACTGAGAATAAAGTCCTAGATTCATCAATGACAGATGACCGTGATTATGTGTGCTTTTCTAAGATCGAGCCAGGGATTTCTTCTTACAAATAAAATAGGCTCAGCTATAGATCTTAATTCTTGAAACGCCACAAACTTGTAGAACTATTAAAAAAAATTCGAATAAGCAGCAACTATACACACAACTTTTTCTAACAAAAACGTTCAAGGAAGATCCAAGATAAAACATGGACTAACCTGTGCAGGATGAGCTTACGGAATACGTCTTCTACGATCAATCAGTCATCGCCGTCTCTGTGCGATTCACAAAGAAGAAAAGTGTAGTTCCTTTCTCGTCTGTAGCAGTGCTGCTAAAAGACAAGATTTCTAAGAAGAGAAGCATAGGGTGGTTGATGAATGGATAGGAAGAGAGAACACACTGAACACATTCGTGATAGGTATAACCTTTTATACAGACTTGTAACAGGAACTATTTACCGAAATATTTGAACCTTTGATAACGGATCAACATAAACAACAATAGTACTTTAGCTTGACGATGTGAATACAGATACATAGATACTGATATACAAAGGAAAATACAAGAAATACAGAGAGAGATGAACGAATCTTGGCGCAGATTGATGGTCCACAATCCGCGTACCACCACACATGTGTACCACAAATCCCCTTCCGCTTGTTTTCAGTGGGCAATAGTAGAATTTGAGGGACGCATCTTGATGAATAGTCTTTGAGATAGACATTTTCGACCCATAGGAAATTGATCAATACCGGCAATAATCAATACAAGCGTCGACATAATATGAGCATGGTCCACTCAGTAGCAATTTACACCATGTATATATATGCACGTGTTTCCAAGATGTAGGGGGGTTTTCAATAAAGAATTGTATACTACAATCCCATAAAACTCACACGGCCTGAGCCTATATATAGGAGTATAACACACACACACACACACAGAGAGAGAGAGAGACAAACGGGAAAAAAAAAGATAACTCCTTTTGTGTGTGAGATAAACACACACAAAAACGAAAACATTATCATAGGAAGAGATGGCGCTAGAAGACTACGTGCCTCGACAATGGCAGGTCCTAGCAACCACCCTCCTCCTTGCGATGCTCCTGCTCCCTCTTCTCTCCATGTTACTTGTAGCAGCAGCAAGGGCAAGTCCTAACAGCACCGGCACTAGGAACAAGCTCCCTCCGCACCCACCGGGGCTGCCCATCCTCGGCAACCTGCACCAGATGGGCGCTCTGCCGCACCGGAGCCTCTGGGAGATGGCTCAGCGGCACGGGCCTGTGATGATGCTGCGCCTGGGGACGGTGCCCACGTTGGTGGTGTCGTCGGCTGGCGCGGCACGCGACGTGCTCAAGACGCACGACGCGGATTGCTGCAGCCGCCCGGACACGCCAGGGCCCAGGCGGTTGTCGTACCAGCACAATGACGTGGCCTTCAACCCCTACAGCGAGCAGTGGCGAGAGCGGCGCAAACTCCTGGTCGTCGAGTTCCTCAGCAAGCGCCGCATCCAGGCCACTTGGTACGCCAGGGAGACTGAGGTGGGTAAACTGGTGAGCGGACTAGCAGTAGCTAGCATGAATGAACAGGAACCAGTATGCCTGGAGGATCATGTCTTCGGGTACATGGACGGCATCGTCGGCACGGTGGCGTTCGGTAACATGTACGGCACAGAGCACTTTGCGCACAAGGAGCACTTTCACCACGTGATTGACGAGGCCATGGTGGTGAGGTCTAGCTTCTCGGCCGAGGACTACTTCCCCAACACCCTTGGCCGCCTCGTCGACCGCCTCACCGGGGTAGCCTCCCTCCGTGAAATGGTGTTCAAGGAGTTCGACGCCTTCTTTGAGATGATGCTTGGCCAGGCCAAGCCCGACAATGCTGGCTGTGTCGGCCTCATCGACGTCCTCATCCGCCTCATGAAGGAGCGGCAGCAAGGATCTTTCACGGTCAGCAGAGACGTCGTCAAGGGGCTACTAACGGTATGAAACATTAGTATGATATATAAACTAAAACAATTACTTGCAAGGAGAGTGAGCCACCACTTTACATGCTCAATTCGTAATACAATATGTACTATCTAAAAATCTTAACGACTTCATCTAAAATATATTTTTTCTTGCGGGGGACTTCATCTAAAATATATAATCTTGTAGAACACATTTATCGGTGCCGTGGACACCGGCGCGGTGACCATTATCTGGGCAATGGCGGAGCTGGTTCGGAACCCACATGTGCTGAACAAGGTGCAAAACGAGATCAGAACTATGGTGGGCAACAGAGAGAGGGTGCAGCAAGACGATGTGGCCAAGCTCAAGTATCTCAAGATGGTGGTCATGGAGACGTTGCGCCTGCACCCGGCATTGCCCCTTCTTGTGCCGAGGGAAACCATGCGGCACATCACCGTCTCTGGTTACGATGTCCCGGCAAAGACGAGGATCTTGGTGAACGCATGGGCCATCGGGAGGGACCCGACAAACTGGGAAAACCCCGAGGAGTTCATCCCAGAGAGATTCAAAGGCGAGGAGGATGTGAACTTCAACCGGGCGCAGTTTGAATTCCTGCCTTTCGGTGCCGGACGTAGGATGTGCCCTGGGATAGACATGGGGTTAGCCACCACAGAGTTCACCTTAGCAAACTTGCTCTACTGCTTCGACTGGGAGCTCCCGGAGGGGCTGAGGAGTGAGGACATGAGCATGGAAGAGGCAGGAGGACTCACCATCCATAAGAAGACGCGGCTCTTGCTGGTGCCGACAAGATACAAGTGTGGTAGCGCTAGCTGATCAAGTTGGATGTGCATGCCATTAAATATGTGTCACGTTATGCATACTATCAAGACGTGCTAGCGTGGGGAAGGACTTTACCATCAATCGATCTTTTTAGGAATAATTATGTGTTCTGTATTATCTCCTTAAAATTATAGTTATTATTGTAATTATATAAAATTACAATTATCTCTACCAGCAAAAGGAATTACAATTATATCTGTATTCTCCTCGCACACTCAATTACTACATATACACCAAATTGTCCCATTGGCAAAGCTAATACATATCCTCCAAATGAACACATATAAGATCGATTGATGGTAAAGCTTGCAGGGAGACCTCAAAGTTGTGGAAGTTAATGATAAATATGCTTATTATTTATCGTGAATACGGATGTCCCCTATATATATATTTTTTATTTTATTGTTTGAACAAAGAGGTGGCGCCCGAGGCGCCTACCATTAACTTGAAGAACATGTTACAATCATAGTTTTACAATGCCTGATATTCAGGTTGCCCAGCTTCAACAGCATGGGACAGTGATCAGCTAAGTGAGACTTGTTGCTACACACCATTATAGGGCTAATATTGGATTCTAGTGAGTAAGCTCTAGCTGCATTACTATGAGCCCTGCTATTAAGCTCCCTGTGAATGTAACAAACGGTTATCTGCGTTTGGCTAGTAAAAGAGAAGAAGTTTGCCAACTGGTTTCTTATCTCCCAATGACCAGGACATGTAAGAATATCCCTTGCTTGTGCGGCCTGGGCCAGAACCTAGTTGTCCGTGAAGAAGATGATGTCTCCTGTTGTGATTTTAGTGACCACTTGAGCAGCTGCCTGAAGTGCCATAGCTTCCGCTTGAAGAGGCGATAATGTTTGCTCCTCGGATACTTGTATACTAACATTGACCTCCTGCTTTTCTTCAAGCATTTGTATGAAGATTCCTATGCCTGTAGTATATTGTCTTTCCACTTTCCATGTTGCATCTGTGAAAACCCTGCACTTTGTGTTAGTAGCTTGCATTGTACTAGCATGATCCATCTGTTTTGAGCTTAATACTAGATTTATGTTATGCTCATCTTTACAAAAATCCTGTTGTGTTTGTTGTGATTGAAATGCCAACTCCTGACTGCTTAGAATGGCCTGCATAACCTGGAATACCCGCATAGGCTTGTTCTCTTTCCTGTTAAAAAGTGTATCATTCCTTGCCTTCCATATGCACCAAAGAAAAGTCATTATATTTACCAAAGAGGCCTGTGGGTGCCCTGAGTTAAGAAGTGCATGAATAATTTCTACCATACTAGCATAGTTATTACAAAGAGTTTCAGATTTGATGAACCAAGGATGAGCAACCCAAGCTGCTCTTGCAAATGGGCAATTAAAGAAAAGATGCATGTCATCTTCCTCTTGATCACATCTAATGCAACTTTTCTTAATATGCTCAGAATACTTTCCTGCTCTCATACCTGTTGGAAGTGCTTTCTTCAAGAGTCTCCAAGCAAAAGCCTGTACTCTTGGAGCCATGGCCTTCTCTTTCCAAACCTGCTTGAGCAATTCTTTGATTTCTTGAGGTACCTGCTTAGGCAATGGAGATCCCTGTTGTTGCAACTCTTGTAGACACGCTTTATAGGCAGATTTTGAAGTACATTTTCCCGAAGAATGCAATCTCCAATAGAGGATATCAGCTCCCTCTTGTTGATTAGTTGGTACCTGCATAATGCTATTACCAACCTCATGATCAAAAAGATTATTAATAAGACCGGCATTCCATATTTTCTGATTCTGGTTCCACAAATCCTTGATCTGAGAAGGATAGACATAATGTCCTGGTTGTATTTGTAAATGCTCATAAATAGATTGCCAATGGGGAAACCAAGGAGTGCTCCAAATAGAAGAATTGCCATCAAGAATTTGATAAACTGAATTTGCTTGAAGGACATGTCTTACCTTTAGAAGTGAAGCCCAGAATCCTGATTTAGGAATATTACTTTTTGCTCTCCATATAGAAGTATCAGGAAAATATTTGGACTTAAGTACCTGTGACAAGAGGCTTTGCGGTTCGTCCGCAATTCTCCAAGCTGTAGTCAGAATTAGTCCTCTATTAACTGCTTGGATGTTCTTGATTCCTAATCCTCCTTCAACTTTTGGAGTGCAAATGTCCTTCCATGCCGCAAGACAGAGCGGTTTCTTGGATGGGTCCTCTTTTATTCCTGTCCACCAAAAATTTCTAATGATAGCATTAAGTTTGGCAATTAGTTTTCTAGAGAAAATAATATTTGACATGTAGTACACAGGGATGGAAGCAAAAACTGAATTGATTAGAGTTAATCTAGCTGCATGTGAAAGCTTATTAGCCTTCTAACCAGTCAATTTAACTTTGAATTTATCTACAACAAAGTTATAAGCACTAGATCTATCTTTGTCAGGGAGAACTAAAGGGTTCCCTAAATAGATAGAATTGTTAATAATATCCTGCACCGGGAAGATTCTCTTAATATCCTCCTTATTGATCTCATCAACATTTCTGCTAAAAATAATAGCCGACTTACTCCAATTTGGCATTTGACCTGAAAGGTTGCAAAACCTTTGAAGAATTTGATGCATATGCATAGCTTCTGCAGCTGTAGCCTGTCCACAAATTAGTACATCATCAGCGAACATTAAGGAGTGAATAGGAGGACATCCTGGTCCTAAAGTTATTCCTGATAACCGGTCAGTACACATGGCTTCCTGTAGAGAGATTGACAACTCATTGATGGCCAAAACAAACAAATAAAGGGACAAAGGACATCCCTGCCTAATACCTCTACTACTATGGAAGCGTCCATAAGATTGACCATTGATGATGATCGAGAAAGTGGGGATAGCCATGCAAGCATAAATTAAATTTATAAAGTGAGCATGCATCCCTTTATGAGTTAACGCCTTAACAATGAAACCCCACTCGATCCTATCAAATGCCTTAGCAAGATCTACTTTTACCATAAAAGCAGGATGTTTCCAAGATTTAAGATTAAAGGAATGAGTAATTTCTTGAGCAATAATAATGTTATTACTAATCCTTCTGCCAGGCACAAAAGCTTGTTGAGAGTGATGAATATAGTTAGGCAAGTGCGGTTTAAGCCTGTTTGCAAGTGTTTTAGCGATGATTTTGTAGATTACATTGCAAAGGCTAATAGGTCTAAAATCTTGAGGGATGAGTGGTGCAATTTTCTTTGGAATCAAAACAATATTAGTATCATTTATATGATTAGGGAGATTACCTTGTATGTAGAAATCTTTGACTACCTTGGTTACATCGTCACCTATCCATTCCCATGCAGCCAAATAGAACTCCACATTAAATCCATCTGGTCCTAGTGAAGCATTCCTTTTCATGGTCTTTAAGGTCTCCAAGATCTCATTTTTATCTGGGATGATATAAGTAAAGTCACCTTCCTTTTCCTGATAAGATGTGTGCAAGTAAGGCCTGCCATGACTCACATTAGAGGAGGAAAAAAGATTCTGAAAATAATTGATGAATGTCTTGGCAATAGCATGAGGTTCAGTTTGAATATTCTCATTCTCATCCTTAATTGAAACAATTCTATTTTTTCTTCTCCTTTTAATAACAACATGATGAAAGTAAGTAGTGTTCCTATCACCATTAACAGCCCAATGTTTTTAGCTCTTTTCCTATAATATTCTGTTAATCTAGTTATGTTTTGTTCATACTTACAAATCGGAGAGGCCTCAAGAGAGTGGTTCAGTACCTGTGGTGACTTCATTTGAATGTTTTTTATTTTCTCACCTAAATTGTCCAGCTCCTGTTGAATTGGTTTTTTCTTTCTGCACCATGTTCTCAAATATCCTTCAAGGTTAGTTGTCCTATTTTGGAAAGCTTTATTTCTAGAAGCAATCCAGACATTTTTTGCATATTCATGAAAATCATTCTCCATAAGCCACCAATTTTCAAATTTAAAATTTCTTCTAGGTTTGCGCATATGGGCATTAGTAGAGAGTAGGATAGGAGCATGATCACTAAGGATGATAGGCAGATTGTAAACATTAGAGTTGGGAAATATCGTACACCATTTAGTGTTAACCAGACATCTATCAAGTCTTTCCATGGTCGGATTTGAAGCATACCTGTTGTTTGTCCAAGTATAAGCAGGGCCACTATATCCTAAGTCAATTAGACCACACTTTTTCACAATACAACGAAAGGCATGCAAACGAGAGTAATTCACAAAGGGAGAACTTTTATCAGCATCATAAAGTATATCATTAGAATCTCCCATACATAGGATAGGATTGCCTTGGTTATCATACACAAAAGAGGCAATACGATCCCAGATATCACTAGTTTGACGATGGTACGGGTCACCATAGATACAAACAATAGCAAAAGGTACGCTAGATTCTAGATTAACTACAGAGGCAAGGATCACAAGGAAGTCCACAAAATGAACACGAATTTGTACATCATCCATCCACAGCAGCCACAGACCTCCTGATTTTCCTCTGGAAGGAACAATTACGCTATGTGCAATGTCAAAACGATTAAAAAGGTCAGCTCTGTTAGTTTTGGAAGATTTAATTTCAGAAATAAAAGTTACCTGAGCATTAGTAGAGCGCATAAGGTTGGCAAGGTAGGTCATCTTCTCACTGCCTAAGCCCTTGCCCTTGCCTCGGCAGTTCCAAGCTATAAGCTTCATGGCGCCTGTGGTGCCTTATGGGCTGGCACCATTGCCCTATCCAGTTCCATTTGTTCTTCACGAAGAGGTTCAGACACAGCCATAGTATCCCCATGTACCATCAAGCTACGCTTACTCTCACCTTGAAAAGAGGATGGAGTCCCAGCCTTGTAAGTGTCAAGATTAACATCCAAAGTCGACTGATGGTAATCAACCGCGTGAGATTGTGAGAAAGCTCCCATATTAGAGCTAAAAGAAGATTCACTTGAAATTGGCGATGAAGCACAAGGAAGTCTATTTGCAGGTGAATCATACTCATTAGGTTCCATCACTAGACCTT